TTTGCGATTCCAGATCAGCAGTTTTATTCTGCTGCTTCTCACTTTTCGCGGTAATTCAAGGGAGTTATAATTCGAGTCCCAAGTTTGCCAACACTATTCCTGGGAGACAATTGGGTGCTATTCAGCCCATCAGAAGCGTTGAAGAAATAGTCGCATTGCTGGGACCTCCACCGTATTCTTACGTGTTCAGAGAAGGTGAGCATCCAGCTCATGATGAGAAACAATATATTATATTAAACAAATATTCGGTGTTTTCAGAATTCTTGAATGTTTGTCCTGAGTGCAGAGAAATTTGCTTAGATAAGTGGAGAATATTAAGAAGAAGTGTGGAAAAATATCATACTGTATTATTATAAATTTTTTAATTTTAAGCATCGGATATTTTCAAATTTTTCTGACAGTGGAATAAAAATTGTACGCATCATGGACTCACAAAGTCACAATAAAACTTGAGCTCAGCAAGACTTGGATAATATTCCAAGCAGCTGTTTTTCTAAAGATTTTCTCCCCTCGGACCCAATGTTTGAAGATTTAAAAAAAAAATGTGCGTAATTGTTTCGTCTAGATTGTCCGAAGTGCAATAAAGCGATTTGGGATCCTGTTTGCGGTTCAGACTACAGAACTCACCCAAACGGTGAATGTTTGCGAAGATTGGCATGCAGACGGCGAAGGAATATTTCAATTGAACACGTGGGGCCTTGCACTCACAAATCCGCAATTTTGGGAAGGTCCCCTCGATCGATTTCACGCACAAATGCTCGAGAGAAACTCAAAGGACCAGGTATGTATAATACTGATCATCAATTAAATCAACGGGTATAATTTTTCTTTGACGTTTATGAAAGTTGAACAAGTCTCCAAATGTGAAATTATGCTGCATTTAAAACTGTATGTATATAGTTTTACCTCGGCTGAGGAACAGGTGCCATTCGAATAAATTGCAGCGATTGAAAAAATTAGTCCACATATACGCGTACAGTAAAAAATAATTATTCGCACGCAGAGCCAGTCACTTGGGATTTGGTGTTTAAGCTAATTTTCTATTAAGTTTTGTAAAAATGTGGCCTTCAATTAAAGTACTGAACTGTACTGTACTAGAGACTTGATTTTGTT